CTCCCTAAGAGACAACTATCAAGGCATGACAGCCATGGAGGCAAGACAGATGAAATGGAACAGGCTCACAAGGCTGCATATTGTATGATCCCAGCTATACGACACCCTAAAAAGACAAAACTTTGACAGGAAAAAGACTGGATTGAGGAAATGGGAAGGATGGGCAAGTGTCCATTAGGTTTACAGTTGCCTCAGTAACAAGTCACAGAGTTGGCACAGAGCAAACTGGACGGGCACTGGGCAGGTTCATTTGACTAACTGCCCCTTCATATCTCTGTTAAATTGGTATCTCAGAGGTGACCTTCAAAATGGCTGAGCACATTCAGTCACTATTGCTGGATGTGCTGGGAACCTGGGAAACAGAGAGCACACACAGCGACCGATCTTGGCTTCAGAACCGGGCTTCGAGTCCCGTTCGCCATCACACCTGCTGTCTTTGGAGCCAGTCTCAGACATTGTCTCAGACATTGTCACATTCTTCTTCAATAGCACTGAAATTACACACATCTATGATGGGGTGTGTGTGTCCTTCTGTATGCTGTGAACATGTGTTTCTTTTATTGGTTGATGAATAAAGCTGTTTTGGCCAATGGGCAGGCAGAATGTAGCCAGGCAGGAAGTATAGGCAGAGCTACCAGATGAGGAGAAGGGTGGGAAGAGGGAGTGAGTGAGTCCCAAGGAAGGTAGGAAGCCCAGGCATTCTCCAGTAAGGTCACATGGAAATACATACATTAGTAGTTATGGGTTAATAATTGAGAGAGAGCTAGCCAGTAAGAAGCTTGAGCCATTGGCCAAACAATGTATAATTAAGACTCTGTGTTTTGTTGTGTTAGTTTTCAAGGAATTTTGGTAATGGGAGTGTTATAGCGTAGGGTAAGCAAGCATTTAAGCTAAGCAGTCAGATGGTAGAGACCTCTGCACTAGCCGACCACATGAGAAATAATCCCTAAAGCTATTATCAGAGTGGTATGTGGGACCGGAGAAATTCTTCCAACATGTTTAGCGGTGTCTGTAAAAGAACAAAGTTGGACTCTGAGAATAAACTCATAACAAATCCATTTATTTCTTATATAAGCAAAATGATCCTAATGTAAATATCAAGCATCTGATTTGTCACGAACCACGAAGTGTCATTTTTTTTTCTTTTTTAGCTCTCCAGTACTCAAGAAAAAAAAAAAAAAGTTGCATAGCAAGGGCAAAAGAGTCTGGACCAGGGCTTGGCAAACTACAGACATGGATTGGCTACTAATCTTTTTTTTTTCTTCCTTTTTTGTTAATAACTACTGATGCATAGCCATTCTCATCTGTTTATATATTGTCCATGGCTACATTTGTGCTATGATGGCATAGTTGAGCAGTGAGGGACAGATACCATATGGACAACACAAAATCCCAAATATTTACTTTTTAAGTCTTTACTGAAAAAGCCAGTCCTTGGTCTAGACAAATAGTCAGATGAGCCAAATGTTGGCCAAAGGTTCCCGGCTTACAATTCCAGAAGGGGTGGGTTAGCTTTGGTTGTCATCAGGCCCCGAGTATGAAAAAGAGAAAGAGAAAACACCCCATGATGAGCCAGTCAACTTAAACTTCTATCCCCCTTGGCTGGTGCACCACAATTAGTAAAATTAGGTCTGAATATAATATATGTGACCTTGACTTCAAAAAAGCATTCCTGTATTGCATGAATGAATTTCATTTCTCTAAACCTTTAATGCAAATGTTGGCGGGTACCTACACACTGTTGTTGAGGTTGTGTCTGTGCAAAATTCTACAGTGCTGAAAATTTCATGTGGTAGCTACGAATGTGGTTCCAGTTGAAGTAAAACTCAGTCTAATCGCTTTCCAATCTTTGAAACCAATGTCAAGAGTTGCTAGAAATCCATTGTTTAAGGCACTGGACACACAATTTAGCTGGGCATCCCAGAGCCAACATGCTGCACCAATTCAGTAAAACATGTCATTGATTATATGACCGTTGCATCCAGATTAATCGGACGCTTTTCACGGTGGCAGGAACTGTTAATAAGAAATTGAGAGCCAGGGATGAGCTTTGGGTTATTCCAACTTGGTCAGGAGTTCAGGTTATAATATCAATTATATTAAAAGACTAGAAACGGTTAAGAACAGTATTTCCTTAGCTCTGAGTTTAGCACCATGCACAAACTCAAGTCTCGGGCGACGATGGGTGGCGTGATTAAAGTGTCATTAAGGATGGTCTTAATATACAATACATGTGTCTCCTTTCTGACTGTTTAAATATTAGGTATAGCATAAACAGTAAAAGTTACTATAGATTCTGCCTGTAAATGTATGTTGGCAGAATACGCTAAGGGGTAGCAGAGAAGTCCTAGGCATAGGCCCTCCTATTGGCTATATACCATGGCTGGATTCAAGGAGCTGAAACCCATTTTTCCCATCCTGATTTTCCTTTTCTAGGAAAACTGACAAAGCTTTCCTAGAGGACTTGTGGGGGAAGAAACAGTGTGTAGTGCGGATATCCTAAGGATCTAAATGAGATTTGTATTGGAAGTTAAAACATAGGAACCCACCTGATAAAGTACAGTAGCTGTAACAACTTAAGACATATGACATAAAGTTTTTCTTCAGTTTCAACATACATATAATAGGATCATAAGACTGGAGAAAATGCTACCATTCTGGAGTTTTGTTAAAAAAAATAAACATTGCTGCAAAATTGGTAACTCTTTATAAATTTGTGTGTCATACTTAACACAAAGACCACGGTAAAATATGCCACAAAGGTGAGTCTCTCTCTCTCTCTCTCTCTCTCTCTCTCTCTCTCTATATATATAGTTAGCCTTGAACTCAGAGATCTGCCTGCCTCTGCCTCCCAAGTGCTGGGATT